GGGGGGGGGGGGGGGGGGGGGGGGATATCGGAGAACTTTACCTGAAATCTGAAATTCATTGTTAAAAATCTACCTGAAGTATAATAATTATATTATAGAACTTTTTCTGATTGATTTCCACCGAGATACTAAATTTAAGAAAAGGGGGTGTGGGGGTCCTCCCCCAAAAATGTTTACATTCTTGAAGCTCCACTACTGCATTTCTGGTGTTCTCTAAAGCACATTTGCAAACAAATTGGATCTAAATTGACTGTATCAAAAATAGCTATCATTTCACAAAAATAACAACTTTATTAATTATATGCAAATTTTACCTGAAAATGTCAAAATTTATACTTGAATTTTAACTGAGTTTCATAGTGGGGTTTACACCCCCAAACCCTATGTCGATCACTACGTCCCTGCTGATCTTAGATTCCTGGTTAGGTCTAATGAATGTAAATACATTTTCACTCAATTATTTCCATCTACAAGATCCTTCAACTGTACGTAAACAGCCTGAGCTTCCATTGCACAAACTGGCATCTCAGTAATTGCTGCCGAAGGCAGCACCCTATTCTTGACACGCGGTGGTTTCTCCAGAGTCCATTCGACCCAGTCTTTCGCGCGATCTATGTATTGTCGAGATCTCGATTTGTGTCTGTCTGTCTGTAAAGATGATTTCCGGGAGGAATAATTAAGCTTCAGGAAGTTTTTTTAAACGAGGGGGGCGGTCAAACTTTAACTTTTAATACGAGACCATACGAGTTTATATGTTGGATTGCAAACGAATATCAAAGAATAAATCAGGTAAGAATGGCTTTATTTCTTTCTGGTGAAAAAGCATGAAAGCATTTAATATATTTAGATCTGCTGTTTAGCATTCGATACAGAGGTATTGAAACATGATTTCATGATGTCAATAATGTCTTATTTTATATACAAGGAGTGAAAATGCACTTTGAGTTTTAAGTTAATTGTTTGTGTGGCGATGTGCCAAGGCGATGAGTTTATAGTGTTCATTTTAGATGTTTATAGCAATGGTGCATTCAGCACGTTTTAAAAACAAACGCGGACAGCGGACTGTTACTTTTGCACGTAATCAGGCTTTATATAATTATTGAATAAGATTCCTATAGCAACCCAGTGTGGGGATTGTTGTCTGTATATATTAACTTACCAGGCTACCAGCAGTTACATGCAAATTAATAGCATGTCAACCGACTTTTGTACAAGACGGGGTATCGTGCATGCCTGATGGCCTGTTTATATCTCTGAGACATGTCCATTGTTAATTTGTTTACATTTTGGTATCCAAAATATAGAATTTTATTCGAGAACTATTTATTTTTCATGATTCTAGAGTATAATAAATTATCAAGACACAACAATCAAGCTTTGCAAGAACATACTGTACAACGAAATAAAACCTATTAAAATAAACTGTTTGTATAAAAAAGAGGGCTCCTTTGTGCACATGCTCAGATCGGACTGTACAGCATCTTAAACATAATATGAAATAATCCTACCGACCTATAGTACTCATACATTCACCTGGCTGTGTCATGCAATACATTTCAGGGTATGCTATTTATTCTTGGGTTTCACTAAGGCATTATGCAGTGAATCTGACTGGGGGTCAACCTCAAATGTATTGATGCTTATGCTGTATTGGAGTGAGAAAATGATACGAAATTCCATGTATTGCCACCAAACACAAGGCTAATACATAAAACAAACAATCGACTCACTCTGATAATATTGTGTTTTGTTTTTGAGTTGACCCCCCGTCACTTCTGTGACGTCATATGAAACCCAAGAATATTCTGCGATAATGCTCACAATTTCTTTCTTATTATATAGTTTTGCAGTTCTGACTGAGTACAATCTCTGACTGAGTACAATGAATGGTGTCATCTGAAGCTGACATATTAATTAAAAATAGATTTTGTCTCCCCATCAGATTGTTCGGTTGATTTGCAATAGGGGTAGCCTTGAAGATGCCAATGTAAATAATAATTGGGAAAAACAGACTTAGTATTTCTACAGTGTGTCTAAAAAAAAAGTGAACCCTTTCAAATTCAAATTAGCTACAGGTATAACGTATTGTAGTAATTTGACAGCAGTCTAATTGCATTGAATTAATAGTTGGGTAAGAACACAAGGTATACTGTATTTCTTTTAAATTTTCTAATTTTTATTTCTTTGAGTTTTGTCCCATGAGTACAAGACCTTGTGTTCTTACCCAATCATTAATTCAAAGCAATTAGAGCTGTCAAATTTGAAAGGTTCACTTTTTTTGAGACACATTGTGTATATGATATTATACAGTATTCAGTGGCTAGCTAGCCATGGCAACTGGTATATTATAAACCTGCATATTTGAATAATGCAAATAATTACAAATTTGCATAGTTTATGACCTTTTGGTATGGCTAGCTTTGCCACAGACAGTATCGTAATTATATATACAAAAACAAGAAATTATAAGCATTGAAGGTATTCATATAAAACTGCCCAATACCAAGAAAGTAGAAATAGAATATTTAGCTGACCTTTGACTTTGTGCAAGGTGTTTGATATTCTAGTTGCACTTTTCCTACCTCATGAACAGGTGTCTTAGGGGCTGTTTACTGTAAATATTGGAAGGCGGGGTGATTTTAATGTATTGAAATAAGTCAACAGAATTCAAATGTTGTAGTTCAAAAAGATTATTATTGCTCCTTGAACAACCTTTAGTTTACATGCAGTTAACTATGTAGTTTTTTGTTGAATCGTGCACAGTAATTTGACTAATTTATTTTACAAGTCATACGGCAAAGCAGGATCATATAAACTGACCCTTATTCAGCAAATTCTGCATGCTGCCTTTGATCCCTTGGGGGTGAGGCAGCACTTTCCTTGCGATAGTAACGTCTAGTAGCACCCATTAATTTGCAATCAGTGCAATGCCAGTGACCATAAAAGACTATAGTAATAAAAAATAGTCCAGCCTGTTTTCTGTGTTAATTGTAGTTTTATACCTGCAAGTGGATAGGGGAGTTGTAGTATATGCCAGCAATGGGCTTGCTTCTTATAAATTTACCCACATAATGATATTAAAATTCAAGATCTGTGCAAGCGTTTGATTATAAAACAGTATTATATAAGCTCACTATAATGCTTTATATGAAGCGTGATCAAAATCTCTTTGACCAGAATCAGAGTCCAGAGCAGATATGAATAACAAAGACAGTGTCAACAATATTTTAATATATTACAGTATAAAATTACATGACAGATTCACAAATTTTAGGCCTGCCTAAACATAAATATCGATTGAAATAACAAAAATTAACTTACCGCGTTTGCTGTGAAAAATTCCTTCGAGCATTTCTTCCAGTGTTGCCAACTGTAATTTTGCTAAGTGAGGCATCTGCCAGTATTATTAAAGTCGTTAAATACCTTTTCTGTGGAATTTAATATTATAGATTAAGTACATACTTCATCTGTAATGCCATGAACGACAGTTTCCGAAGTAAAGTCGACAATCTCCGTCACAACTTCACATATCTTACAAACATTTTTAGCGTTACATTGTGGCTAGCCCGCTAACGGGCTAGCAACAAAAACTGTCGAATACCGAACTTAAGACAGAATACTCAAGAAAACTATCAAATAGTTAGGCATTTGCCACGATTGAATTGTAGAGTAAATCATTACCCTCCGCCAGTAAATAAGAGAAAACTCAAGACGAATAACACAATATAAAGGATATATTATACAGCACGAAATCACAGATGTTCGCAAGCGCCGAGCGGGGCTTAAAATATTTATATTGTCAACACTGTTCGAATGTCAATCAAAATACGTCACTGTCTGATGTGACGTACTTCCTGTAACTTTAACATATTAATAATGCTAATCAGAATACGTCATTGTATGTGTGACGTACTGTAACTTTAACATTACATTAACAATGTCAATTGTGGCGTGGCCTTTTTCTTCTTCTTCGCCTTCGTTTTAACTATTACGTTACCAAGTCTCATATTCAAAGTACTTTGGTGGATTCCGGCCACGTGGAAGTCTGGTATTAGAGTTGAGATCAGAATCAGCAGCGGGTGAACAGCCTTGCGATGATGTTGCGTGTGGAGATAGCTGTGAAGCTGGGAGGGTTAATACTGGTGGTATGTTTGTTGGCTGGAAAGGTGAGTCTTCGCTATCTGTGTCAGTTGTACGGCTAGGTGGAACTTTTGGTATCTAACTTGGGATCAGGTGACATTCACTGATTCTTACTTTGTAAGCCAAAGCTCGTAGTTGGTTACCAGAAAACTTTCTGACAAAGCACCATGGCTTATCAACAGACACAACCAAGTAGCGGTTTCGTGGCTGAGTCTTGTCGTGTTCAGCGGGTAAATATATGAGATCTCCGACATGTATTTGTGAAGTACTTTTGCCAACCGTTTTGGTGTTCTTCGGCCTTTCGCTGTATGAATGGTTTCTTTGACGGGTCTTGTGTTGGTTGATGATAATGTCCCTGTCTTCCAATGGAAGTTGTTCATGAATAAACTGGTTTCTTTGTGTCCATAGTTTGTGAGCAGATATACATTCTCTGCGCAGGCGTGCGTTGAGTCGTGAAACAGTAATGGTCAGGCCGAGTTCTGTAACTGGTCCGCCATTAGGAACTTGCCGAATAAGTTCACCTTCTAATTCCGCAATTGCCTTTTCAGCTACGGGGTTCTTGTTGCTGTTTTTGATGCGACCGATCTCTATGGATATGCCAAGCTGTTGGAGTATACCGTCGTCTTTCAAAGAGACAAAGCCTGGGGCGGGGTCAACTCTAACCGTAACAGGTGGTCCACCTAATGGTCGTAATCCAACGCATAAGCGTGCTAAATTGTCACGGAGTGTCGCGCTCTTTTCATCAGGTATAATGCTTGCTGATGTGTATGATGTTGTAGTCTCACCATTGAACTAAAATATATGGAACGCTACCTGCAGCCGGAAGTTTGAAGCCGCGATTTCCGGTTAGAACCAAGTCTTTTCTCGCGATAAATGCGCGCGGCCAAAACACAAGCATTTAAATTGTTTTAAAATATCGATCATGTCGCTGCCGAAAGATGTTTTTTATTGAATAAACTTTGTCTTTTTTAATGAAGTTCATGAAGATTATGTCTAGTTTTTATTTAGAATTTACACTTTTGTTATTTGTTTTGTTTTTCGAAATGCCAAGTGAGCAGAATCCAAGGAAGTTAAACCTAGTTTTGTCCCTGAGTGCGGAAAAATAAAATCCTTCCTATGTACTTTTGAAGCCACTAAACATGACAATAATATACACTTAATGTCTGCTCCCGAGGGAATTAGTTAGTTTTGTTTTCCCGAGAATCTTAATGTTTCCCGAGACGAAGTCGAGGGAAACATTAAGATTCGAGGGAAAACAAAACTAACTATTTCCCGAGGGAACAGGCATTAAGTGTTTTGTTATATAGCGACGAACGAAAATCAACTTCAACAACATTCATACA